TGACGTGATTTCTTGCTCTCCGACTTCTAACGTGATGGTTTCTGCCGTCTTTCTACTGGTGATGAGCACTGCCTCGGTCTTATGCTTGGCTAGTTGTAAGTTCACCGTTTCCATCCACTGGCTTATTCGTCTAAATGTGATATCGAAGGCCAGGTTTATCTCTTCGAGATGCTCCGCGACAATCACTACAGCTACATCATCAGCATATGCAACAAGTTTGGCTTCTGTTTGCAATGCTATTCTCAAGAGGCCATCATACATAATGTTCCATAGCAGAGGACCTAAAACTGAGCCCTGTGGTACTCCTCCGGTTATATCGTACTCTTTTGGACCGTTTTTCGTGTCATATTTAAGGACCCTGTTCGTAAAGTAGCTTGCTACATTTTTGCGCAGGTATCCTAGTACGTTTTTCTTTTCGAGGGCTTGCATTACGCAGTCCCAGTTAGCGAGTTGAATTTTTCCTTATGTCCAAAGTAGCCACTAAGCAATATTTCTTCTTTCCACCCTTCCATCCAGTTCCTGCAATTGCATCCTTGGTCGTACTAACACCAGGTTGATTGCATCCTGGGTTGACCGTCCTTTCCGAAAACCATATTTAATGACTGCCAGGAGTGGATCGACTCTTCTATTCTTTGATGAATTATGCGTTCGAATATCTTACCCGCCGTGTCCAACATGCAAAGTGGACGGTAAGATGACGGTTCTTCCGGTGGCTTCTTTCCTTTAGGAAGCAGTACTAGTCGTTGTTATTTCCACTTCCGAGGGAAAGTTCCTTCCTTGAGGCATGTGTCGTAAACGTCTAGAAATAATGTTGGTGTTGCCTTTATGGCTGTTTTTAAGGCAATATTAGGGATTCCGTCCAATCCCGGTACTTTATTATTTCCTACACGGTTACAAGACTCTATCAGTTCTTCCTCCGTGACAGATGGAATGTCCTCCAGTTTGTCCTGAGCTAACAGGTAGTTGAATTCGCGTTGCTGTGGAAACAGCGCTGTAACGATCTTCAGCAAGAGTTGTGGACCCGTAGATGACGGCATTGGCTGGCTTCTCAGGTGAGTCATGACCACCTTGTGCGGTCTTTCCCAGGGATCTCTGTCCACTTCATTGATGAGGTCTGTCCAGCATCTTCGTTTGCTATCTTTGATGGCCTTATTCAGTTCCTGACGTGCCTTTTTATACTCTGCCACCAGCTCTGCAGAGTTAGGTCGTCGGTAGCCACGCTATGATGTTCTTCTTTTTCTGAGACACTCTGAACGGAGAACGCTAATGTGATCGTTCCACCAGTGCACCGAAGGTCTTTGATTTACGCCACGTTGCCGGGGCATATTGGCGTCGCAAGCCTGGACAATTCTTTTCATTAGGTCCTTGGTCTTCTCTTCAGCACCTCCTGTAATAATCGAGTCACTATCTAAGGCTACAACCAAAGCAGATGGATCAAAAGATTTCACTTTCCATCTAACCGCGTTAGTTTGCCTATTCACTCTTCTAGGATTCTGGCCAGTCGATACTTCCAATAGTAGTGCACTATGGTCGCTGGCTGTGTAGGTGTTCAATACTTTCCAAGAAAAACTTCTTCTAGTTAGACTACTGCTGACAAATGTAAGGTCCACAATTGAGCTTGCCTCTCCCTTGGTGTACGTTGGTGTATCACCGATATTAAGGAGGACTACGTCTAATGTGGCCATTACCTCGAGTAGTGCCTTTCCCCGTACATTAGTAGACTTGCTGCCCCAGTCTACTGCCCAGGAATTGAAGTTACCGGCTATTGCCACAGGAAAATGTTCCCTTGCATCCTCGATTAGCCGATCAAGGAAATCTGCAAATTCAATAGAGAGACTAGGCGGTGCATAGCAGTTTTAGAAGCGAATACCATCTACCCATGCTGCTACAAAGCCGGCTTCTCTATTATTGACCACGCTCTGGAATGGAAATTTGCCACAGGACCAGATGACAGCTTTGGTGGTGCTGTCGGATTCCCAGGGTTGGATACTCAGGTGTCTGTATGGCTCTGCTATTAGTACTAAGTCTAGCTCTAGTTCGCGCACGGTTTGCATGAGCAGGTCATGCGCAGCCTCACAATGATTGAGGTTCAGCTGCAGTATCTTCATGTCCGTTTATTAGTTAACTTCTTGAGCGCCTCTTTAAATACCGGGCATCTGTGAGTGCCGGCATGGTGGGCAGCGTTCTCTGCGCTTAGATGTTCAGCGCATAGTGCACATTTGGCATTATGGCTTCTTACAATCAGCGATACGATGTCCTTCTTGTCCGCATCTGATACAGAGCTTAGACCGGTCTACTTCGCTTTTGCATTGTTGTCCATGATGTCCAAAGTGCCAGCATTTGAAGCATTGGATTGGTCTCTTCGTTGCTCTTATTCGGCAGTTGACCCAACCGATCCTGATCTTGCCGTTTCCGTCTAGTACCTTCGGCGCTGTAGCTGCTGGTAGTGTCACTACAGCAGTCTGAGTATCTCTGTAGGCCTTACGGATCTTAATTGCCTCTAGTGGTATCTCGCAGGATTCTCCAGTTACCGTTTGCAAGGCGGCCTGAATATCATCCCTGATTGTGGTATCATCAATGTCTCTGATTTCGATATCTTTCTGTGGCCCTTTGCAAATCACTTTAGCTTCCTCTTTAAGGATGCTTGCAATTGTCTTCTGCAGAACTTGGCCGTTGTCTGTGCTCTTTCTACAGAGCGTAATGAGCATATCCCCGTCCTTGGTCTTGTGGATCTTATCCACTGTATTACGGACCTGCTCATTTGGGACCTCGGTCTTATTCGACACAGTATCTCGGTATATTTTGCCTTTTCGACTGGCTGAATTATCAATGCATCCGGTCTAATGGATTTTCGCGGTTTTTTCCGCTTAGACTTCGGCCGGGGCTCCTTCGGCAGCTGCTTTGGGAGCGACTTTTCGGTTTGCCTCTTCTTCTTTTCCTTCCTGGATTGGACTATTTGCCAAGCAGGTGCCTTTTTCTTTTCAGTGTCCTGCGTTGCTGGTTTTTGCGGCGGGCTATGTTTCGAGTCCTTCTTCTTCTTGGCTTGGCTGTCTGTTGGGTCAGGAGAGCTTCGCTCCCTTTTTTTTTTCAAGCATGGTGTCACTTCCACCTTTGTTTCCAGCGACTGACTCACCGTCAGTTTCGACTCCGGTGTCTATATCTTCTACAGTCCCAATGGTAGTTTGGCTGCTTTTCTCCTTCGTAATATCAGTAGAGCGCTTCTGGCTTACCTGCTATTTCTCGTCGAGTTCAATGAACCTTCCGAGGGCGCCAACGACGCTAGTTGTCTTGGACTTGATCTCCAGGTGAATGTTGGTCTTCAATATTATCGTCTTCTGAAGCTCGTCGACAAGCGTTTCAAGGCGTTTTAATGCTTTTGTCATCTGCATTTCAAAGCTTAATTTTAGAGCTCCTTATTGGGCATGAGGCCCGTCTTCTTGCTTATTTGTTTTCTTAATAGTACTCATCCTTTGAATTTATCAGCGCATCGTTCGGAGTGGAGCGGGTTGTCATAACTAGGAACGGGTGTACCCTCGGAGATAATACTCCTACCCCAGTTCCCTGAGGCCTAGTCGACACTTAACCAGTCCCGGAATATACGGACGGACTAGACTCGCTCGGGGCGGTGAAGATTCCGATCTCCAGCACTTACTGCCTATTCCCTGATCAAGGTCCGAGGTGGCTGGCTCCTGAACTACTGCTGTAACTTACACCTCGGAAGAGTAAGCTCATATCAGCCTTGGCCTGCATCGTCGAAAATTACGACACAGGTTCCGAACGCTCCCAGTGGGTTACAGCAGAGAACGATCATCTTCCTGTGGAGTCAGTTAGGATGACCCACCCTTTTTAGGGGAGTTTTGTCCGCGGGAGCTATTTTATTTCACTTCTGCCCTCTGTTCCTAGAAAACTAAGAACAGCGGGAATCCTCCTATCCGCTTAGTGGAGACGCGCCCGGTAGCAGTTTTCTCCTCTGCCCGGTAGGTAGGTAGATAGGTTGGTAGGTAGGTAGGCATAAGTCTCCTATACACACATATACCTAAACTAACACATTAGTCTTTGTACGTAAACGATTGTAAGCAGCTGAGCACCCGAGCGCGAACAAGCTACGTGGTAACACTACCATGATGAGCTAAATGACCATCACACCTCGGCCTTACACGCTTCTTAATGTAAAATTGTACAATACAAATGAAAAATCAAGTTAATAATTATATTTTTTAATAATAGCTATAAAAAAAATAATGGCCAATGTTCCTACGTCAAATACTAATTTCTAATCAAAAAATATTTATAATATAAATATGTAAGTGTATTAATGTTATTTGAAGTAGATATTTAAATCTTATTTGTAACTGTTCGAACAGATTGTTGTTTACCTGGTTGAAAATTGCATCGAAGAAATGATTTGGTATATTTTAAGGTCCTTCAATATCTTAAGCGTCCAAAGGAACGCTTCCTATATAAGAGGTAGGAAGATAGATGTGGTAAAGAGAAGGTCGTGACACCTGAAGAATGATCGGATTCGTGTACCTGTTTCACCTCGGCAAAACACAATTAACCTCCCGCGGAGGGGCAAAGGGAAAGGGTTCCCCCTTGTAGACTCGATCTCAAAAAGGAACGGTTGTCCTGCTTTGGTGGCACGCGACCCGTTTGATTTACGAGCCGATTTGCATTTTATTCCCAGCCCTCTCACTTCTTTCTCCTTAAAAATCTGTCCTAAACACTTATAGTTTACCTGTGTTTTAATGAAAACGATTTGTTCCACCAACAACGACAAAAAAACCGGCATTTTCCTATGCCTATTGATTATTTACAATTTAATGCCGTTGCACGTAAATTTTTCTTAACATTTTTTTACAAAGCAACAAGATCTCATTTAACAGAGTTATTTGAGTTAAATCGAATTTTTAAATACTTTTCTATAATTTTTATTTGTACTTAATCGAATATTTTTTTGGATATACACGGGATGGTATTTTTTAATGATTAATCAATTATTTACATTTATTTATCATTAAATTACCATATTTTTAACATTTCAATAGTAGAATATAAAAAATAATATTTAAGGGTACAGAAATTTGTTATTTATTTATTAGATAGATATATAGAAGAATCGATAATAATGCAAATATGAAGTAAAATAGCTGACGGAAGTATCTTAATGTATGTTTAACACAAGTAGATATGTACATTTTTAACCATATATATTTATAATATAAAAGCACAGAAGAAATGATACTTCTTATGTTATTTACTAGTGATTGTGAGAGTATTTTATGAAAATAATTTATGAATTTATACGTTTATATAGCCGTTCGTACTACAGTATATTCTTAATGTTAACATTATAGATTAACAGAAGTATATATATGATACGCATGAGTGTTCATTATTTTTTAATTTTAAAAATAAATGTGGGGTTTATCGACTTACTTACTTTCAGTAGCTCGTAATACAAAGACTAATAGATAGTCTTACTTGTTCTTTTCAACTTTGTTGAATGTATCGTATGTTGCGTTAGCGCTATTTTTTTTTTATCGAAGCATCTTTTTTAATGGGCCATATATATGATAATTTTTGCAACATTTGAGTCAAACAAATTTCGTTACTCCAAAAGAAAAAAAAAGAAAAAAATAAATGTACGCATATTCTGCAACGTGATAGTTACATAAAAAGAAATTTCAATGTTCCATAATTGTTGGAAACTCCTCTTGTCATATCAGTGAACTTAAAATTAGTTGTATATCGGATAGACTGAAATTACGATTCATCGTTTTACCTTGTAGTACGAAGTATACAATTCGGCGTGCAGACAATAAACAAACCATTAACGACTATTATTACACAAAAGGCCAGTCTAACCATTTCCGGTTTGCAAAATTTAAAATATGTTTCTTTCGAAGCTCAAGAAAAAGGTTTTATTATCGATAGCCTTTTTTTAACTTCGACCTCCCCAAAATATATTTCCTATTCGGACTCACCTTTGGTTCTACCATTATCATGCATTACTATTATATTCTTATCACTAATTTTGCATAATAGCTACAAACGTTTTGTTTATATGCAATTTTCTGTCATTATACTATTTTAACGTGTTTTTTTAACACCAAATTGTTTTTAACAGATCTTACACCACTTCGAATTTATCCGTTAAAATTTTTATGGGATTAAAAAAATCTAACATCAGTTAGAAAACGTTCAAAGATTAAGCAAGCCTCCAATTTTAAGTGGGAATTTTCTCTTAACGCTGTATTAGATTTGATTAAACCAGTGTTTTATAATGATTTAATATGTCGATGTAAATAGTACTCAGAAATTATATTTCTATTACAAGTTACAACGAACTAATATTTTTCAAGATGCCGATTACATAAGACTTCCGATGGTCGTATGTAAAAATGAAACCTCAAACCGGTTTTTATGTAAATTGTTGTAAAAATTGAAAAAATAGAAGGTCAAATTGGTGTTGAAAAAAATAGATACAATTTTCTTAGAAGTTTGGCGTATTTGTTAAATGATTATCGATAATTGCAAAGCACTTATCAATCATCACAAAGCATTGGTAAAGAAACGTTAAATGCGTTTTATCGTATCCAACATTGGTTGCTTTCGAGAGATCGAGAATCGAGATTGAAAGAAAGTGGCTCGTTTGGCTTTATCTCGCGATACGAGTAGTCGAGTTTATCTAAGCTTATCCTCCTCTGCATGCAACCTAATTTTTACTTACATTGTCTATATACATGCTCGTATTAATTATTATCTACTTTTTTATGTAGACAATAACTTACAACAAATAACTTATAAAGAGTCAGTGAGAGAGACATATGTATATATATATTTTATTCTTTCCTATTCATAAATATCTCTACATAATGTACATGTATTATAAAAAATTTACAAAAATTAAATATTTATACAATAAAAATGTAAATGAATGGACTTATATATTATTAAACTTATCTTTTTATGATAAAAATGTATATATATATATAGTCACTGTTAAGATTTAAAAGAAACAAAAAAATATATTAGAAGAAATAGGAGTAGGAAAGAATCGTGTGATTCTTCTATCGAAATCTCGTTGATCGTAGTTGTCTATCGGTCGCTAGTTAAGATGGTCGTTTAAAAAAGTAGGTCAAAAGTTGGTCGGTAAAAACAAACGGCCGACATGAGCCCGATGTTGACGAAGAATCGAAGAGAGGACGAAATGGGTCAGCGCCGGAAATGATGTCGAAACTAGGAGGAATATCGCGCGCGAGCCCGAGCACGAGCACGAACATAAGCACGAGCATGAGTCTAGCCACCTAGCTTTCTTCGCGACCTTCCTTCTCTTTATCTATAAATACCATTCCTTCTATTAGACTACTATATTGCTATAATACGCGTGCTAAGGCGCGTAAAAGCTGACGGAGTAAAGCGTTGCTGGTTCGTTGGTTGGTTCATTCGTTGGTTGGTTGGTTCGTTCGTTCTTTAGCTTACTTGCTCGACGATTGTTTCGAAGCAAAATATAGGTCGGCGCCTAACGCGCCAACCTCTTACTTTCCTCCGCTCTCTACCGATAGCACTCTCTCCCTCTCTTTCTCTCTCTCCCTTCCCTCCGCCTCCCCCTCCCCAACCTCCGTCCTACTCAACGTCTCTCTGTCTTTCTCTCTCTTTCTTTCTTCCTCCTTCTCTTACCAACAATAGAGATAGGAAAAGTATACAA